CAAGCAAAATGAAGTCTTTGACAACTTCAATCTTTTCTCCATTTGTCATGATGTTATTTATTGCTCCAGTGGTGATGATTCTTGTTTTATTTACATTGAGGTGCAACCCATACCAAAGATTGTGATTTTTGCTCTTCATTGGTAAATGTTTTAAGTCCTCTTCATTTTCAGCAAGCAAGGTTGTATCATTGCTTACCGCAGATTGTTAATGAGTCTACGTCCAATGCTGAAGCCATATTCTTCTTCATATAATCTACCCTCTCAGACTATCTGCTCAGCATTAAGACTGACTAAGAATGGTTAAATGACCCTGGCACACACCTTTCCAGATTTTAAACTATTCAGTGTCCCCTTGTTCTGTTTAAATGACTGCCTCCTGATCTATATACAAGTTCCTCATGAGCACAATTAAGTGTCCCAAAATGTTCATACTATGCAATGTGGTCCATAGCTTGCCATGATCAACACAGTCGAAAACCTTTGCATAATCAATATAGAACAGGTAAACATCTTTCTGGTATTCTCTTTCAGCCAAGATTCATCTGATGTCAGCAATGATATCCCTCCATTCCACATGCTCATCTGAATCTGGCTTGAACTTCTGGCAGTTCCCTGCCAATGTACTCTTAAAGACATTTAAAAATTTTTGACTAAAATTTTAATTGCATTGATATTAATGATATTATCCAATGGTGTCCACCTCCAATTGGGTCACCTCTCTTTGTAAAGGGCACAAATACGGATCTCTTCCAGTCAGTTGGTCAGGTAACTATCTTCTAAATTTCTTGGCAAAGTTGTATGAGTGCTTCCAGTGCTGACTCAGTTTGTTGAAAGAATTCAATTTGTATTTCCTCAATTCCTGGAGCCTTGTTCTTGCCAATGTCTTTAGTGCACCTTGGATTTCTTCTTTTAGTATCACTGGCTCTTGATCATAAAATAGTTGAAAATCAACCATCTCTTTTTGGTACAGTAACAACTGTATTTTCCTTTCATCTTCTTTTGATGCTTTCTGTAACACTCAACATTTTGTCCATAGAATCCTTCAATACTTCAAGTCAAGGCTTTATTTGTTTCTTCAGTTCCCTAAGCTTCAGACATTCTGAGAGTGTTCTTCTTTGGTTTTATAACTCCAGATCTTTGCACATTTCATTATAATATTTGACTTTGTCTTCTTGAGCTGACCTTTGAAATTTTCTGTCTAGCTCTTTTACCTCATTTCTTACATTTGCTTTTTAGCATCTCTAGTCTTTGATATCCCATGTGTGTAAAGTTTTACTAAAGGTAATAAAGAAACGACTGCAAGCATAAATTGACAGAGAACTACCAGAGGTTCAAGTTGGATTCACAAGAGGCCTTGGAACGAGATATCATTGCTGATGTCTGATGGATCTTGGCTGAAAGCAGAGAATATAAGAAAGACGTTTACCTGTGCTTTATTGACTACAAAGGCTTTCGATTGTGTGGATCATGACAAGCAATGGATAACATTGCAAAGTATGACTATTTCGGAACACTTAATTGTGCTGGTGAAGAGTCTGTACCTGGACCAAGAGGCAGTTGTTCGAATGAAACATGGGAATGCTGAATGGTTTAAAATAAGAAAGGTGTACGACAAGGTTATATTCTTTCACCATACTTATTCAACCTGTATGCTGAGCAAATAATCCAAGAAACTGGGGTCTATGAAGAAAAACATGGCATCAGGATTCGAGGAAGACTCATTAACAACCTGCGATATGCAAATGATACACCCTTGCTTGCTGAAAGTTAAGAGGACTTAAAATATTTACTGAGGAAGATCAAAAAGCATAGCCTTCAGTATGGATTGCATCTCAATGTCAAGAAAACAAAAATCCCTGCCACTGGACAAGTAAACAACATTCTTATCAATGGATAAAAGATTGAAGTTGTCAAGGACTTCACTCTTCTTGGATCAACTATCAACACTCATGGAAGCAGCAGTCAAGAAATCAGATGTACTACATTAGGCAAATCTGCTGCACAAGACCTTTTTAAAATGTTGAAGAGCAAAGATGTCACCTTGAGGACTAAGGTGCGCCTGACCCAAGCCATGGTATTTCAATAACCTCATATG